GAGATTGCAGGATTATCTTTATTAAGCTTTCTCTCTTTCTGTGCAGGAATCTCTTCTCTTTTGGCCAAAACAGATATTCTATCCATCATTTTGGACACCTGCTCTCTTATTTCTCGTATCTCCTTTTGCTCTTCAATGGGCATACAATCTTTGGGTGCATAGCTTTTCTCTATCTTCAGAGTTCCCTCAGGATGTTTTTTCTTGGCCGCATCAGATTTTGTTTGATAATAGAACTTTTTGTCCATTTATGATTTCTTTCTAATTTGATGAACAGTCTTTTCAGTTAACACCTTTTGGTCATGATCATGCAATGCAAACAACAGAAAATAATTTAAACAAATTAGAGCAAAAATAACATACATGGGAAAATAAGAAAAAATGAAATGGTTAATACCAACTAATTGAAAGAAAAAATTTATTTATCATGGCATATAATAAATCCTAACCTCATGCTTTCTAGTTCCATGCTTTGTTTGGAAAAATTAACCTAACCGCATGATTTCTAGTTCGCATGCATTTATTCAGGGAGAAAAAAATAATAATATAAATTAAAAATTAAAAGAGCTTATTTCTCCTTTGTGTACACCTATGAACAGATGTTCAGTACTGTCTTAGATTAGGTGAATTTCTAGGGTTTATTATATGCAGAATTTCAGTTCTAGGAGTAAAGGTACTCGAATTGTCCTTGTTGATGTCCCCTTGGACTGCCAACCCTCAATCCTAGTCCATCACAGACTTAAGCGGATCGAGTTCAAGTCGAGAGGACACATTTCTCTATGCCTGACACGGAGAATAAATTCTCACGAAGACATAGAGCATATGAACCCTGAAAGTTACTTGCTAGGTCTGACACGGAGAATAAATTCTCACGAAGACGTCGCTTTCACTCCCACTTAAAAAGGACAAACTCAATTATAGAGCTTTATGTTATGCAATGCAAGTGTTGTGTGTGAGGAGAAATATTCAAATCTATACAACAAATAAATAATGAAATTTAATACTTGAAAATAAATAATAATATAAAAATTATGAAATAATAAATAATAAAAAAATTGAAATAAAAGAAAAAATTAAATAAATGATTTTTTTTTTAATTTCTAATTAGTAGAGACAATTTATAATTGATTTTAAAAGTTTGACAACTGAATCCCCAGCGGAGTCGCCAAGCTGTCGTAACCGGTTTTCGTCCGGGCACGAAAATTTTATTTTTGGCGGGAAAATTGATGTGAATAAATGGTTTTTTTTTATAAATAATTTGGAGTCGCCATCGACCTTTTGGGTTAGGTAGGTCGAATACCTAAAAATCATCTTTTAAAAGTGTTTTTAAGAAAACATCAGTTAAAAGATAAACTGATCTGCGTTTAACCAAAAATTCATTCTTTTTTATTAATAAAAAGGGATTCGTGGTCGGTTACGTTTAGGGAAGGATTTGCACCCCTACAACGCCCAAAATTGGTACTTTTTAATTATAAATTCTCTTATTATTAAAATTTAAAAATTCAAATATATATTTAATTTATAATCCTATTATTTCAAAATTATATAAAAATATTTATTTATTTAAAAATATCAGAAAAGAACTTCTAGATGCCTTAAGACAGCTCTTTTCTTTGATATTGATAAATATTAATTTAAATAATATTGTTTTTTTTTAATTTTAAATATCAGAATAGGACATCCAGTTGTATTAAGACTGTCCTTTTCTTCGATATTAAAAATAAATATTTAAAATTACTATTTATTATATATATATTTATGAAAAAATATTTAACAATATAATAAAAGAAAAATATTACTAAAACAATATATTTAAAAACAATAAAATAAATGAAAACATATAAAATAACTGACTAAATTACAGTAAAAATAAAATCAAAAATCTAATTCATAATTAATCAAAATTGTAAGGATTAAATATGCTATTTCTTTATTTTATTTATTTAATGACAAAAATAAAATTATTTAAAATTCGGATATTAAAATAAAATAAATTAAAAATATAAACTAAGGATTAAAATATTATTTATTAAAATTAAGGGATTAAATCTGTTATTTATCCTAAATATATTATTTTAATATAAAGGACTAAAATAAATAAAATTAAAATTTCGAGATCAAATTAAAAGGTTCAAGATTTGATTCCAGTGACCAAAATGAAAAGTTACAAAACTATGGTAGCAGCGGGTATAGTTTACCCACATGAGAATTACCGATATACCCCTTCCCCAAAACGGTGTCGTTTGGGGAAGGGTTTAAAAACCCCTCAAGGCCGGCCCTTAAGGGCCAGCTTCCACTTTCATCCTTCCTCTTCTCTCTCTAACTGAGAGAGAAGAGAAACTCTCTCGTCTCTCTCTAATTTTCTGTCGCCGGCCGGCCACCACCAACGGCGTCGATCACCACCGCTGGTGGCCGGAATTCTTAAATTACCCTAGAGTGTAGATCTCGACTTCCTAAGGCCGAATATGGCATTCACTTGTCCTAAAACGCTTTAGATCGTTCTAGATCTAAAATAAATCGAAGGTTTTACCTTCGGTTTTACAACGATTCCGGTGGTTCCAAACGGTTTGGAGGCTTTTATGATGGTAAGATGCTCCTTTTCCTCTTCTTTCTGTTGATTTGTTCTCGTATTCTGCTCTCTGTTTGGTTCACTGTTCTTGCCGTGGTTTTTGTTTGTGTGTTGGTTGCCTCTCTGTTTTGGTTATCTCCGATTCTTCCTCCTCCCTTTTTTTTTTCTTGCAGGTGATGGTTGTTTTATAGCCTCGTCGGAGCTTGTCTCGGACCGGTCTCAAGAGTGGATTTCGGTGAGTCACCGAACTGTGTGGTGACTCACCCTTGGGTATCGACGTGTGGGGGGCAGCTGGCTTCTGGAAAGCTCGACGAGGCCGGCGTCGTGGAAACAGCAGCGTCGGCAGCAACTGGTTGGACCATCTGGAACTGAAGCGTCGGCAAGGCAGCTGGAGGCAGTGGTAGCGCCGCGTGGATGTTCTTGAAGCTTGGAGGTGGCGGCCGGGATATAAACCTAGGGTTGTGAAACCCTAGGGCTTCTGGGAGTTGGGCCAGAGTTGTAATCAGGCCCCGATCTTGGGCCTTTGTATATATATATATATATATATATTTATTTAATAATAATAATATATAATAATAATAATAATAATAATAAGAAAAAAATTAGTGTTTACAGAAATCATTCATTTTCTTTCCATAGAGAGGTACATACTAGCATGTCATAATTCATTCGGATATGATACCTAATCTTCTAACTCACAAGCCTACCAGATAGGGACGTAACTCTCAGTTACCTCTGAATTAAGCACGATATTGGAGGAAAACTAGAAATAAGACAATGAATGATACCAATTAGAACATGAGTATCATCCATTACATGTAGTGCGCCAAACTTTTAGATTACTTACCAAGATAAGTCACCTGATGTTTCCTTTACTTCTTTTGATACAAAAGAAATAACATATTATATTGCGCCAAACCACACAGTATCTACTAATCAGGGGGAAGCTTAGCCCAAATAAAGGTTTTATCCACAAAAAAGACTAAAAACGAAACCATATCGAGCAAACACAAAAAATATACAAAGAAATAATGAATGGTTCAAACATGAGCAGAACTAGTAAATTCCACTCTTGAAACTTTAAGATCCAATATCAAAAACTTTAGCCTGTCTCCAGGTTACCAATGGTAAGCTCCAGTAAGATATAGAAGATCAAAATTCTTATTTTCTTTTCCTTCTTCCCCATTGCTAACAGGTAAAGATGGGAGATCCCACGAAGGAAAACAAGGTGGGTTGTGGGAACTGGGAAGGGTGTTGTGAAGAAGGCAATGGGTATTGAAAAAGCATGGACTGGGAATACGATATAGGAAAAGAACGCAAAATGGAAGAAGCAAGCGAAAAAAAGGAGACATGATAGGCAAAATGAATGAAAATTGACAAGGATGGCAAATCACAAGAGAAAATTTGATTTTTATAATATTTATATAAAAAAGTCTAAATTAGTTTAGTGAAGTTATTGGCCTTACTAAATGTAACTAAATTTAGTCCTATCAAGAAAAGAAGTGCAGAAAACAATGGAAGTTTAAGAGAACCGCATTCTTATGAGCAGATCAGATAAAGTTTGAATACCATGATTACCAAATACAAGAACAATAGTTAGAGTTAGTAAGATGCTTTAGATATGTTAGTCACTTAATAGATGTCCAAACACTAAGAAAGATACAAAACATACACAAAAATGTTGTACTTTCAATTATGGAACCACCCTTTGCAACTTTCAAAGACAGGTGATTCAATAAGTTTCAGTATAACTGAAGCCAAAAGTTAACCCAAATGTTAGGGAATAGAGATGATTCGAATGTCTCCTAATAGAAATATAATGTCTATGAGGTCAGTGCTACCCGCTTCCAAGCACAATATTTCATTTTACCTTCAGTATCTTGACACCGGAAAAAGCTACAATGACAAACATAAGATTTCTAAACAGCATTTAAAACACCTCGTTTACGACCTATGTTGGTCGGGCTTTTCATTTTTTTTTTAAATCCTCATGTCTGATACCTGCGTCCAACACATAGATATGGCATAGGATCTCCAAGGATCCTCAGAATACATGAAAAACCATATAAAAAAGTCTAACCATAACCATGTCAGAAACAAACACTTACACTCGAGTTAAGTTCGAGTAACTTAGCTTACAGCCATTAGAATACACTCAGATTGCAACTATGATAAACAAGTTGGGAATAGATAAAACATCTCAAACCATTGAATGGAACATTTATATTTACATACTATTGACTTATTTATCATTTGCTATCAGTTCTAAGAACCCACAACTCAAACAAGAAACCAACAACAAAATTCACATTTCTAGCATTTAAAAATTCAAAATCTACATTAAAGACTTCAAAGAATTACAAAAGATAATTCCACCAAAACCCAAAAATTCTACTCAACTAAAAGAGAAAAAAGAGACAAAAAGACGACTCACGTTTTTAACCCGTCTTCAAGTATAACTTGCTCTTCTAATGTCCAGTCCATCGAAATACCAGGGTTATGCTTCAAACCCGAACCCAAGGTGTCAGGCACAGGATTCCCGTTGTCAAGTGTGCTCCATAAAAAAACCCCAGACTTGAAGCAAATGTCAGAGATAAGAGAATCGGTTACTTCCCATCAGCTGAACCGTTCCCGCCATAAAAGAAACAACACAAAAATTTTTAAAAAAATAACACACAAAGGGAAAGGAGCTATCAAAGATTATCAAAGCTAAATCAGAATTCAAATATGGGAATATCAGATTGAAGGGGAGCTGTTTTAACTTGAAATTGAATCAGCAAAAAAGAGAGAGAAAAAAGCAAGAATCTGAGAGAGAAAAAGGATTCTAGAGAAAGACAAATAGAGATTCTGGTATGGGAAAAGTGAAGGAACAGATGAGAAATCAAATCATAATCGAATTTGAATTGTGAAACATGAAATCAAAAGGTTGCTTTCTGATTTGAAGTTACATAGTTCCAAAGGCACATATAATTTTTTATTTTATTTGTGTTTTTTTTTTTCATTTTCATTTTATGTTCATTCGCTAGCTTGATGTTTTTATATTAGCCGACTCTAGTAAACTTACATAAACTATGTTGAAATGACTGTTTTGCCCCTCTGAAAATAATAAATATACTATATTAATTAATTATTATTAACCATATTTTTGTCAACTAAATTTATAATATATTAATAGGGAACGTATTTTAATTTTGATTGACATTCATTTTTTAATTTTGATTTTAGATAATTTAAGAAAAATTGATATAATATCACTAATAAATTTATTTTTTATTAATGTCACAAAAATAATAGTATTACAACCCTATTATATATATTTCTTGGGAAAATAAAATGATCTTGTGACAAGTGATAACAAAATGATTTTTTTAACTATTTGATTCATGAATATCAGAGTGATTCTTTAGTATAACACTTTAGGGTGCGTTTGGTTCACGGAATGTAAAATTATCAGTGAGAATAAAAGATTACCAGGGAATATGATTACTGAGAATGTTGTATTTTGTGTTTGGTTTGTTTAGCAGGAATGTAAGATTATTGTGTTTGGTTAAAGGAATAAAAGATTATTGAAATGTATATTTGACCAAATTGTACTTATTATATATATATATATATATATATATATATATATATATATTTTAACAAGTTGGAAAATATTTATATATTTTCTTTAAAAATTTTAAATTCATAAAATTTATATAATTCTTTTTACAAAATTGAAAATATAAAAAGGTTTAATGAAAGGGTAAAATTTTATTTTAACCCCTGAACTTCATATAAAATTTTAATTATAGATTTTTTTTTGTAAATCTAAAATAGTTTAAGGAATTTATCCTTCGTAGAATTTTTACTATTCAATGACAGAATAATGATATTTTTGAAAGAAATTTTTTAAGGGCATTTTAGTCCAAAACGTTGGTAATCCAACAATACATAAAGAAAGGGAGGTAATGACATTCCCGATAATATACCCCAAAAAATCCACTATTGGTAATGTAAGATTACCGGGAATGACATTCCAGACCAACCAAACGGGGGAATGTGGATTCTATTCCCATGAGAATCTCACATTCCTCCAACCATACACACCCTTAATGATTTTGGTTAAACAAGATAAACATTCGTAATTAGAGAAAATATCACACCCCAAAAAATAAAGATATTAATCTCATTTTAGAAAAAGAAAAATCTTAAAGTTTAGAAAGGATAATATTGGACATTTTATTAAATATATCTTTTAAAGAAAAGATAATAACATGTTCGAATATCATCATTTTTATGTAAATATATTATAAGTTTAAGTTTATATATAAGGTTAGGATCCACTTAAACTACAAGTTTTATACATATTTAAGATTGTTGGATTGCATAAAATCAAAAGATAATATTAACTCCTTATTTTTTCAATAATATCTTTTCATTTTGTATATTAATATCATCGTTTAATTTCTCTTATTCAATGATCCTAAAAATGTATAAAACTAAAAAAAATACACACCGCAATTAGATCCCACCCCTTATATATATTCTAGTCAACAAATGGGTGGTTCTAGAGAGAGAGTTTTCTCTGAACTTTTCTCTCCGGTTATATTTTCCTTCTAGGGAAAACAAGCGTCACAACTAGGGGTGTAAAACGAGCCAAGTAGAGCTCGAGTATTGCTGAGCTCGACTCGACTCAAAAACTTTGAAATGGAGCTCGACTCGACTCGAAAACTCGTGAGCTTAAAATTTTTAAACTCGACTCGAACTCGAACTCGAACTCGAAATCCTAAACTGAAGCTCGTGAGTAGCTCGAAAAGGCTCGAAATGAAAAAAAAAAATCTTAAACTTAACTAGATTGAAGCGTTAAACTCAAACTCAAATCTGAACCTTAAATACATGAAAGTCTTACTGTGTCTTTTTTTTTAAAAATCAACACATAAATGTTAATATTATTAATAATTTGTTTTTTTAAAAAATAAAATCTTAATATATTATATTTTCGAGCTGTTCACGAGCTTTTCGAGTCGAGTATCAAATAGCTCGTTTCGGCTCGTTAAGAATTCGAGTCGAGTCTATTCGATCTGAGTATTTATGGAGCATTGATCGAGTTAATCTCGAGCAACCCGCGATCTGTCTCGTCTCATTTACAACCTCGTCACAACAAAGGTCATGGATGGTTTAGATTCAAGCCTAGATTTAGAGATAGATTTTGTGCTTCAAAATTAGTTTCCTTTCCTTGGAAAAATTAAGATTAAAGTTCTTCCTTATTGTTCATTCTCTATTATTTATGTTTCCAAAGAAAACCAAACCGACTAGGATTTCCCCCAAGTCTAAAACAAATTTCAAATCCTCAAAGGTTCCATTACAAAGTACAATCCTACAAAACCGCTATTCTTCGAGTCATTCATCCACTCCCCGATGGATGCCTCAGAGGACTTCAAGACAAGGTAAGTTTTACTTTGGATTTAACATATTTCATTTGATTTTTTTAGGGTTGCCTTAAAGCTTCCAATCATCGAGGGCGTTTAGAGAGAGAGGGAAAAAATGGGCAAAACGACGTCTCAAAAGAAAGAGAAGGGAAATGGCAGATGCAAGAGTTCGAGAGTATTCAAGAAAGAGATAGAAAAGGGAAAAAAACTCTTCACTGTGAGTAGATTAGTAGTTAGGATCTTCAACAAAGGATAAGTTACCAATAAGGGAGAGGACATTTCTCTAGAACTAAACAAAGAAAGAAGATATTTCATTATTTGTTAGACCAAAGAAAGTTTTTCCTACTCACCGGGAAAATAAAACTTCCATTTTTGGATATTTGATGATGATTCAAAGCTGGTCAGAAATGGACAGACTAACGAGGCTTTAAGAACAGTCAAACATCAATCTTTCGTGTTAATCTCACCAACCGGGTGCTAGGATGAATAGGCGGGGCCAAGGAAAAAGTGAAGTCCCATCGCTAGGTACACCTTGCCCAAGGTTACCTGATACAGTAAAAAAGAAAGTCTGGTACAAAACAGGTGGTACAAACAACCTTAGCCTTTTTTAGAAATACACACTACTCGAAAAAGAACCCGATTGTAAGGAGATATGAGAGATGCAACGACTGATTGGATTTGGGCAAGTTTAAGTTCCCTAAGACAAAAAGTACATTTTTATGCAAAGTCAATATATGACTTGTCACTGGTCAACTTTGAGAACTAAATCACGTCTATCAAAAAAGGTTGGTCATTTTGACAAGATATTATATATGTCATGGAGAGGTCAATGGTCAATTCACATCATACAATGGTCTAGCATAATTCAAAGTCCAAGAACCTTAGATTGGAAACAATTTAAATCCAAGATTTTTAAAGGGCATGGGAAACATAGACAAGATAATGGAAATGATGAGACAACCAGAAGGTTTCGCTTGTTTTCTCCAAGACAAAAGGGAAGTTACCATTTTAAGCTAAATCCTAAGAGAATTTTGACAAGTAAGCTCACAAACCTTACCAACTGTCCTCTCTCTAGCTGCTTCTCATGTCCTAGTTGATCTTATGCCCTAAAAGAAGAAAAAAGATGATTCAAACCCAATTGAATTTTAGATAAATCCAATTAGATCCTAAAGAACTTCCTTCATCTAGGGAGTATTGTCAAATCGATCCAACTTTGAAGAATTGTATGATAACCCCTTTCCTTCCCATCAAGTTGTCCTCACATTAAAAGTCTTCTCACTTCTAATCAAAAGGTTTTGATCTCTACCAACTTTGAAGAATTGTATGATTACCTCTTTCATTCCCATCAAGTTGTCCTCACAATACAAGTCTTCTCACTTCTAATCAAAAGGTTTTGATCTCTACCAAATCCTTGTGTTAATGTTTTTGGTTTTCTTTTAACAAGGTTTTAATCTGGTTAGATCTTTTTGATTAGGACCTTTCTTGGTGTAAGGTAAAATAGCCATATTTCTAGTCAAATTGTTACTCTTTTTCATTGTGATATCTTTAGGTTTTGTTTCTTCCCAAGTGGCCTTGTTAGTATTACTTTTTTCTCACGATTCATCTCTTAAACCCCTCCCTATTTCCACTTTTTGCAAGGCTTTAGATCTTAACTCCTTCCCCCTTCAATTTTACCAAGTAAACCTCCTTTGTTTTCAAAGTTCACTTATCCCAAATCCTCTTTGCATCCTTTCTCCCTTACTGTTATCATGTCTGAAGAAGGCCTCCATCTCATGAATAATCTATCTTTCACCGAAAAAGAGGTCGTTGTGTTTGAAACGCCAAGGGTTATTAGCGATGAAGACCTTGAAGTCATGGATTGATGGGTTGTTGGAAAGCTTATAACTCTCGAACTTGTGGATGAAGACACGATTATTAAAGTATTTCGCTCGGTGTTAGATGCCAAGAAACTTGTTGAAGCATCTTATCTTAGAACAAATATGTTTCTATTCAATTTCAACACTCTTGAAGATAAGCAAGAAGTTATGAGAATAACCCCTTGGAGTTTTATAGTGATTTGCTTGCATTATTTGACTTCATCCCACTTTGAGGGTGGATTAATTCAACTTTGAAACGTTTTCCATTTGGTAAAGATCATCGATTTCCCTTTATGGCTTAT